ACAATTCAATTACAATGCACTTTACTAGCTACAATCGCTTGCATAAACTTTAACAATTTACTCTACTTAAATGTAATCCCAACGTGTTTACTTTACGACTTTTCTGATGTTAACGCCAACGAGTTCACTTTATAACTAACTTGATTTGGCAGCTGAGTGTCGCCCTTATATAGCAGTCGGCTGCTCGCAGACGAAAGTGTAGAATCATCGAGTTGTTCGCTATCGAAGGTTCTCGTTTGGAATGTACTAGTTATCGGCTTCTCTCTTTCATTTGACATTCGCCTCGCATTTCCGCAACGGATATTTCGGCGAAAAGTATAGTTGAATTTGCCAATATTTGCGCAATGATTGTTAAAAGAAGCTGTCCGAAGAAGTTCGTAAGAACTAAAATTTTATTTGATATTTATCGCATTTTGTAGTTCCCAACTCACACAAGACTTAAAAGATGCAGATCGGCTTAAATGCCACCGTCAAAGTTTATAGTGTAGCATCAAACCTGAGAATTGCTCAAAGAGCAAAGCCAATACTTATCATCTCGTTAAACTTTCGTGAAGGTGCAGTTTCTGAACATCACTTAATGCAGACAGAGCAGAGTTCATGAGTAATACAAATGCCGAGGTCGAAAGACGACCACTTTTTCGCCAAATTCAAGAGCGAGGTGGATGCGCATTTGCAAATCTGTCTGAAACATTCATTCTGGAGGATTTATGTTTTGTTAATTTTTTTTAATATGCCAAATAGCTGAACGAGGAGCCGATCACGTCATAGACTGTCAATTTAGAAAGTTAATTAAAGATTTCGGTGCTATGCAGCAAACAGATGTGTTTGAGTTTCAGCTTAATATAAAGAATTTGAAATTGTCACCTTCGTGAACCGCAAGTCTGATGAAATATTTTTCTGGTCACACTCACAGATTGCAGTGGGTCAAAACTAAAAAGCGAAGATTTCAGCAATCTACGCCAAGTTGCCTCCTAAAATCGAAATGCTTAGTCTATGGATGTACGTTCCAGAGTTTTTGCAATTGCCGTTTATCAATTTTCCAGTCAGAATTTCTGCTTATATGTCGCACTTTCTAAAGAAAGAGATCAAATCTTGCCTTCACATACAAGCTAAGGTAAATAACGTTTTGGTACAAATCAATCGTTTTCTTCTTACTTCTTCTTTCGCCTTTCCGATCACCCTTTCCCTAGAGATATAAAGCTGGTGTTTGGCGGTATGCACAGACGGCGAGTTACACGGCGCTTCAGTTTGTCTGCCGAAGGATGCAATGGGAAGAAACGGCTGAAATAGCTCGCATATCTCTACGGGTCCGACGAGACGTGATCTCTGAATGAAATTTCCACCCGGTCATCGCGTCTCGTTGGGTTAGACCACCATTCCACTGACCTTAAGTGGTCCTCCACTTTTCTCGCTTCCGGCTATTTACAACTTTGGAGGCCTGTCAATCGAGATTTGTATGGGCAAGTGGTCCGATGCTAATGTCATTATAGGCCGCCAGACTATACTGTGTATAAGACCAGCACTAGCAATTGTTATATCTCGCGAGCTTTGGCAATTGCCGATAACTCTGGTGGGAGTATTGTCGTTCATTGTGCAGAATGTCGAATCGTCTATCTGTTCTGCCAGCTCCATTCCTCTACGGTCATTTGACAGGCTAGAATGCCAAAGATCGTGATGCGCCTGATCGCCCCTGAGTAGCGCATCAATATCAGGGGTGTATCCTGCTGGGCAACCTGACCGGATAGCTATACCCCTGCGGTCGATGTCGTCATCGATAAGACTATACTGCACGGTGTAGTGCAGGATGCACGCTAAACCCTCACCGTGGTCTCGTTCGCGATCGTTGCGGATTATGTTGTATCCGGCCTGGCTCAGAAGATCTGATCGATCGGTCAACTTGGTTTCCTGGATTGCAGCAATTGACAGGTGCTCCCGGCTCATGTAGTCGACTATCTCGTCGATCTTTCCCTGGAGTCCGTTGCAGTTAAATTGTAATAATCGGATCTGTCTCGGGGGAACAATCGTGATACGGGGGGTGAGGGAGTGATGCGTGGATGTTGTTGTTGTTGTAACCGCAAAATTATTCCCCAAATTACTTTTTGGGGAATATTGCGGGAGTGACAGTCCTTGGCCGGATAAAAATCCGGGTCGTTTCGGTATAAAAACCCGACTGTCGCGGGAACTATTGGATTGTAGTCGCCTCTTACGACAGGCATGCCTTACCGCGGGTAAATTCTTGAGCCCCTAACCCGCAGGGGTAAGTGATGCGTGGATGGAGTGTGTTGCTGGTGCCGGGCATGCCTTCGTCCGACCATATTCTATTCTGCAAAGTGGCTGATACATGCACCTTGCCTGCCTTTCACGGTCATGTTTGAATAGTTCTGCCGATAGGCCGTCATCTCCCGCCGCGTTGTTGTTTTTAAGCGGGCGATTGCTATTCGAACTTCTTCATGGTCAGGTAATGGAACGTCTTTTCCATCGTCATCGATTGGGGTTTCGGGTCCACCATCTTCGGATTCCTCATTTTCAGTACTATTCAGCAGGTTGGAGAAGTTTTCCCTCCATAAGTTCAATATACTCTGGGCACTCTACGAAAAGATATGGCGACTTACGGAAGGTTTCAAGACCGAAGCAGACTCTTGTAGGACACAGTTAGATCCCCACTTTATAGGTGCGCTACTCAGAGGCGAAAACCGTTTGGTTTTGGGTGACTTTAATGGGCATCACGATCTTTGGCATTCTAGCCTGTCAAACGACCGTAGAGGAATGGATCTGGCAGAACAGATAGACGATTTGACATTCTGCACAATGAACGACAACACTCCCACCAGAGTTATGGGTAATTGCCAAAGCTCGTCAGACATAACAATTGCGAGTGCTGGTCTGATACACAGTATAGCCTGGAGACCTATACTGACGTTAGCATCGGACCACTTACCTATACAGATATCGATTGACAGGCCTTCCGACTTTGTTTCCGCGGACCACCGGACGTTTGTTATCTTCAAAAAAGCTAGCTGGCTCGAATTAACGGAATTCACTGAGAACGCCTTTAGTGCTCTTCCCACTCCATCAGACGTCACTACTGGTGAACGTTCATTCCGCAGAGTCGTCGTAGCCGCAGCCGCCCGCTTCATCCCGGCAGGCCGAATTGCGGAAATCCGTCCAAATTTTCCGACAGAAGCGGTGGTATTAGCATCCAGGCGCAACACCCTCCGAAGCTCCGATCCCGGGAACAACCTAATCAGAGATTTAAGCCCGGAGATTCAAGAGTAGTCAACAATCTTAAGCGGGAAAAGTGGGAGGAACACTTAAGGACCTGCAACCTCTCCTCTGGGGCAACCAAGCTCTGGGCTACAGTCGAGTCACTGACTAACTCGACGAGACGTGATGACCGGGTGGAAATTTCATTCGGTGATCGTGCCTCGTCGGACCCGAAAAGATACGCGAGCTATTTTAGCCGACCTTTCACACGGCATCCCTCGGTAGACAAAGCGTAGCGACGTGTAACCCACCGTATGCGCAAACTGCCAAACACCAGCGCAATGAAGATACCCGACGTGTGGAAAATGGGTAGGGTGGTCCCGCTACTTAAACCGGGGAAACCAGCCAACAAAGGAGAGTCCTATCGGCCGATAACTCTCCTCTCCCCAGTAGCGAAGACATTTGAGGCCTTACTGCGCCTTCACTCACCATCTGTGTCCAGCAGCGCATCACCATAACTTCCGTAAAGTGAACAGCACCACAACAGCACTTAACGCCATAAACACCCAGATAGTCTATGGCCTCAACCAAAACCGACCCTGCGCGCGAACTGTCCTAGTAGCACTGGACTTGTCTAAAGCTTTTGACACAGTCAATCACTCAGTGCTACTAACGGACATTGAAGAATCCTCATTACCTCGCTGATCTCTCCCACATCTTCACTGCAAGACAGGTAAGAATTCAACCGACGAAATCCGCGGCTATCCTCTTCCCCAGCTGGACGAAGGAGTACAGGCTTGAACTAGATGTGAAGGTCAATGACTCAAAAATTCTGACGGTATATAACCCAAAAATATTCGGAGTAACCCTAGAGAGCCTGTAGTCTGTCACTCTGCATACGACCGCAATAGCCGGCAGCACCTGGGGTAAAGATAAAGAAACTTTGCTCGCTACTTACAAAGCAATTGGCCGGCCGGTCGTAAACTATGCTGCTCCGATCTGGACGCAGGGGACGAACGGTACGCAGATGAAGAAGCTACAGGCTTGCCAAAACACCGCCCTCAGGACCGCGACAGGAAACCTCCTGATGTCGCCGCAGCATCACTTGCACAGGGAAGCATCTATGCTACGAGTTAAGAAGCATAATGCTTTGCTGTGCAAGCAGTTCCTATTGGGATGCTACCGCAGGCACATCAGAAAGGGAGTACCAGAATTGAAGGACACAATGGCTTATAAGCGTTTCAATAAATCGAAAAACAATCAATGCCGGACCCACACCTGCTCCGCCTCATTTATTGCTCCTTTTTAAGTTTCTTACACAGTATGGCAACGTCGCTTTTGCCATACTTGGTTTTATTCATTACTCTTTTCTAAGTAATATATGGTAACATCGCTTTAGCCATGTATTTGTTTGTAATGTGTGTGCTAGTGATTATATTGTAACTTTAAATGTTAATAATAATAAAACTATACAATATTCAGCTTTCCCCCACTTTCAATGAAAAGATAATCATCAAATACATCTATTTAGCCAAAAACCCCATCATTTGTGGACAGTTTTAGCAAAAGCCGCTCTCCTGTATAATTACCCTTTATTCTAATGTAATATATATTAGAAGTAGATAAAAAAAAAAAAGCTGGGACTTCTGAACACCAACATAGTGGTACTAATTTAGGAATATTAAAAAGCCCGAAGCAAACAAAAAATCGCGAGATTAAAATAGTAGAATGGAGAAAAATACACGAAACAAATGTAAAAATATTGCTTGAACAAAGTGTCTCTGTGTGAACGAGAAGTGCGACACAAAAAAAAGAAAATTATGCAAATCAGCGAGAATTAAGTATTCCATGTAAAAAAAGACTTATACGTCAATTTATTAACTTAAGAAAACAAACGTGAGAATCCTTTTTTTGGGTAAGAATGTTGGAAAACAATATTATAAATAAATTAATGATATAAAATCGTTTTAAGCGTTATGGGGCATTATTATAATCGATAATTAAGTCTTGATTATATAAGCTTTTATTCGGGGATTACGGTTGGTCAAAATTTTAACTTTAAAACAAATTACTCGATAGCAATAAGTTACCTGAAGAACCACCTGGTACACTATTGCGAAGTTTCCTCTTTAAAATTTTGATTTTTACATGTAAATGTAAACATTAATACACATTGATGATTTAATATAATTAACAAATTTCGTAATTTGACTTTTTAAATCAGGCGCTTAATTTGGCTAAGCATAAAATACTTGATATAAACAACAGATGTTAGGAAATATATAAAATAACAACCCAACACTGATTAGTTTGGATAATTCACATTTTCTCTAACCATATCTTATAAGGTACTGGCGCACTACAAGCAATTGTTTAGCACTGCCTTCACTAGTAACAAGCAAAATAAAATATAAATACGATAAAGGTTTTTAACATCCTAGTATTAATTTCATAATAAACAGAATCACAAATTGTCACAATCCAAACCACCACTCTGAAATCGGAATCTTACTGTTATAGCAATTTGTGAAGTTAGCTGTAATTGTAACATTTAAGGCTTCAGTACAAAGTTCGATTTTTTCGAAACACGAGTATTACTTACGAAGTTACGACAGTGAATTAGTCACAGCCGTATACGGGCGTTCATCTGATTCGAAGTGTTCAACTTAGATAAATAGATACATAGTGTTGCGAACATGCGAGGCGAATGTCAGATGAAAGAGAGAAGCCGATAACTAGTACTTTTTAGAAACGATAAAACAAGCTTTCGTCTGCGAGCAGCCGACTGCTATATAAAGGCGACACTCAGCTGCAAGTCAAGTCAGTGANATCCAAACCGTTGGGAGTACAAGAAACAAGATGAAAGTGCTCCACCTGGAGAGACTTGCTGAGTTTGGAACAGCGAATGTGTCTGATCGGGACGATCAGACTTAGGTGGAGGGCAGTGTTGCGAAAATGCGAGGCGAATGTCAGATAAAAGAGAGAAGCCGATAACTAGTACGTTTTAGAAACGATAAAACAAGAACCTTCCATAGCGAACAACTCGACTATTCTACACTTTCGTTCACGAACAGCCGACTGCTATTTAAGGACGACACTCAGCTTCCAAGTAAAGTCAGTTACAAAGTGAACTCGTTTGCGACAACATAGAGTATAGCAGAGTAGACTGTTTGAGTCGTAAAGTAAACGCGTTGGAGATTACATTTAGGTGGAGTAAATTGCGAAAGTTTATGCAAGTGATTGTAGCTAGTGAAGTACATTGTAATTGAATGGTGAATTACTGAGTAAATAAAGGACATTAGATCAATTCTTTGTAACGAATGAAACTGCAAATTGAGTTGGCGAGTTTTATTTAACAATCCAGAGATCGTACCCGAAAGATTCAGAAAATCATCGAGGTTGATTAAGCAAAATCGTAACAATTGGTGTCAGAAGTGGGATTGTTAAATAAATCCCAAAGGATAATATTTTCAAAATGGTAAAGATTCAGGATTTGACGTTACCTCCTCTCAAGAGGGAGTTGGCAAAACGAGGATTGTCGACAACTGGAAATAAGGCAGAACTGCAATCGAGATTGCGAGAAGCAATGGAATTTGAAGGCATCGACTTGAACCAGTACGAGTTCCATCGCGAGGATGAAGATATATCCTTGAAAGACATTGTCAAGAAAGAGGCTGATGATTCTGTAAAGAAGTTGGAATCACCATCAAGTAAGATTCAAGAAAAGGCTGCTGACTTATCTAAGGTTATTGACATGAACATGTTATTGACTGCGATCTCACAAAAGATGGATGCACAGATGGTTGAAGAGAAGGAGCAGATATCATCATTGGAAGAAACAATAGCGCAAATAAAGCAAAATCTGGTGAGGAACACGGCACAAAGGCACGATCTAATCGAGTCCAAATTCAACGCATTGTAAAGTCGTGTCCGGGAATTGCAGCTAAATCGTCCAACCGCTTCAGTGAACGCTCCGAAGGTAAAAACACCATCTTTTGACGGGAAAATCCCATTTCAAGTCTTAAAGCTCCAATTTGAGAAGACAGCTGAAATAAACAACTGGAGCATAGATCTGCTGCAAATTTGTTGCGTTGGAAGGACCTGTAGCCGAACTTTTGCAAACCATATCCGTTAACGAGAGAAATGATTGGGTTACTTTAAATCGACGGATTGATGCGAGCCCAGGAAAGACGCTATGGTAGCGAACACAGAAGACAGATTTACCAGATGGAGTTAGAAAAGCGCGACCAAAACTCCAACGAATCTCTGCAGGAATATGATTCGGATGTTGAGAGATTAGCTCATTTAGCCATTGGAGACACATCGGGAGAGCAGCTTGAAAGGGTGAAGATACAAAGGTTCATCAGCAGAATAAAAGACGTGTACACCAAGCGAGAGACATATGCGAATCCAAAGTTGACATTCGCTGAAACTGTTGCGTATACACAAACACGTAAAACGGCAGCACTTATAAGCAGACCATCCCATAAGGTGAATAAAGTGGAGGTTGAAACTCCAGATGTGATTTCGGAGATGTTGAGAACTCTGAAGTCGCTAAAAGGGATGAATCGTTCTGGTTTCAAGACTCAAGCGGGAAAATACTTTAAATTCCGAAAGCCTGGTCACTTCGCAAGCGAATTCAAAACAAGTTTCTGCAGACTGGAGGTACAGCGAAAACGGAAGGCAGAGGAAGATGAACCATTGATTTCTCAAAGTAATGACTTCACAATCGAACACCGCANAATGGAGATTTAGTATTGCTATAAAATTCACAACGGAAGAGGGGCTTGTCTCCAAAACTTCAATGTAATTGGGAACGCCCATACAAGATAATCAAACGACTAAACGACGTAGTGTATCGAATCCAAACCGTTGGGACTCCAAGAAACAAGATGAAAGTGGTCCACCTTGAGAGGCTTGCTGAGTTTGGAACAGCGAATGTGTCTGATCGGGATGATCAGACTTAGGTGGAGGGTAGTGTTGCGAAAATGCGAGACGAATGTCAGATGAAAGAGAGAAGCCGATAACTAGTACATTCTCGAACGATAAAACGAGAACCTTCGATAGCGGACAACTCGACTATTTCACACTTTTGTTTACGAACAGCCGACTGCTATTTAAGGGCGACACTCAGCTGCCAAGTCAAGTCAGTTACAATGTGCGATAACATAGATTATAGCGGAATAAAGTGTTTGAGTCGTAAAGTAAACGACTGGAGATTACATTTAAGTAAAGTAAATTGTGAAAGTTTATGCAAGTGATTGTAGCTAGTAAAGTGCATTGTAATTGAATTGTGAATTACTGAGTAAATAAAGGATATTAGATAAATTCTTTGTAACGAAAAAAACTGCAAATTAAGTTGACGAGTTTTATTTAACAATCCAGAGATCGTACCAGAAGGATTCAGAAAATCATATATGTTGATTTAGTAAAATCGTGACAATACTATATTTCATACATTCAATACTGGCTATTTAACACCATCAAAAACTTTTTTCCATATATGAAGTGAATTTAATTGAAATACCGCTAATTTTTTGTATTACTTACTTACTTACTTTACTGGCGCAGACACCGCTTACGCGATTTTGGCCGATTTAACAACATTGCGCCATTGGTTTTATCACGACACCGGGATTCTGATTTTAACATGTGCGTTAGCACAAGTTTATTTTACAGTATTTTCACTCCCGGTTTGCCTTAGTGATATAAAATAAAATTATCGACCAAAGCCGTTGCCCGAATTTATATGGAAATTTGATTAACGGATGAACAAATAGCAAACCGGGAATGGAACACAGCGTTGCAATTTTATTCAGCTATAAAAATCTTAAACTATTACAGAGTTGCCAGAATTACCTTAATATTGAACTTATACTTATGGCAAAGCATATCTCGCTAATCTATCACATCCCCGCCCCCGTGAATTGTCCCCGATTCGTTACAAGCTGCATCCAGCTTGGCAAGTTTGGACGAAGGTAATTGGATCGTTCCACACGAAGTCGACACGTCGGCTCGACGAACTTGACCATCTTTCCCAGGATACACTGTTTTTACCCGGCCGCGACACCACTTTTTTCGGGGAACCTCGCTGTTACAGATTAGCACAAAATCACCTTCTTGTAACGGCTTCGTTGGCACACACCACTTCGTCTGACGGGTCAGCGTTGGTAAATATTCTTCTACCAACCTTTTCCAAAAGCGATCTCGCTTCTGCCTGGCCACTCGCCACTGCTTCCGTAGGTAACAAAGCTTCTGATCGGGTTCGTCACAACTTGGTGTCTGCGCAGTATTCGCACTGCCCAGCCGGCATTGCTTTCTTTATTTTGCATATATTGCTATTTGCAATGACTCCTTTCTTATTTTTGGGATCCAGTACTTCTGGAGAAATTATACAAATAGCTGCCTCCTTATTTTGGTGCATAATTCGCTTATGCTCTTGGGCGAATACGTGCCCCGATACGGCGCTCATGGTGAGATGGCAAAATTATAGGGTTCTTCATATTATAAGCGAGCCCACTGATAGCATCTAATCGCCCGTGTACTCGGAGAACACATTCGCTATCTAGCCATGGCGAAAGGTTTTAGAGTGGACTCTCTCTTGGCAGACTGAGTCCTTTCTCCAGTAGATTCACTTCATTGACCAATGCTTCGCGTTGTGCGTGCCGACATATTAGTCGTTCGGCGGCGTCAAGTTCCGTGGCTATTAACCCATATGTTGACATCTTCTCCGGAGGTTCCGCTCTTGATCTGCTGTTACGGATGTTGAGGCAGACCCAGGCAACAACTCTCCTCAGTTTAAGAAAGGATGAAAATCTATTAAATTCAAAAATGCTGCTTCTGGCAATTAATAAAGCATAATTCGGCCGAAGTTCTGCGTTCTCGTCGGCGTTCACAACAGGTGTGTCGTGTGTGGGCCAAATGTGCTCTAACCGATATAAAAAATCTGGACCCATGAACCAACGTGAGGATGGATTGAGGTTAACACAATTATTATCCGGGTTGCTTCGTCAGCGACATTTTCTCTTGTTGCACCCATCTCCAATCAGATGGCTTAGACACACTTAAGATTTCCGCCACTCTATGAGCTACAAAGGGCTTGTAATGACGATGCTCACTTGCAATCTACTTGAGAACCGCTCTTGAATCGCTCCAAAGGCCAAAGCAATCTACGAGCAACGTTCTTGACCTGGCGTACACAATACTGGCTTGCAACGTTTTGTCCGGGTTCTCTGCTCTCCAAAATGCTACGGCTCCGAGTGCGTATTCGTTCGCGTCAACAAATATGTGCAATTGTAGAGATTTTGGCTCACCTAACCTGAAATAGTGGCTCGGAACTGGGCACTCTATAACCTTTAGCAACTGCGCCCGGAAATTATTACACATGTCGTTGATCTTACCAGGAACGGGCTCATCCCAGCCTAAACTAAGTTTCCAGATTTCGGGTAAAATCAATTTACCCGTAATGGCCCAAGGGATAGAATATGGCCATGACGATTCTCAGTA